CAAAGGCCTGCCACGGGGTGGGGAGCGGGCAGCAGCCCCAAAATCCACACACCACCCCCCAGCCCCTCCCCGCTCAGCCCAATTTCGGCCCCAGCTCTTCCTACGTATCAGCAAAGGGGCTGGGGGCTGCCGGGGAGGCTCAGCCACGGAGCTTCGCTGCTTGTGCCCTTCCCAATGGCTTTGCACCTCCGGGAATAACCTGGATGGTGGGAAACGGGGCGTCCAGCAGCGACCTGCAACGGTCCCGCACTGTTTTGCAGGTAAAACACCCTCCGGCTGCACCTGTAGCTTTAGAGCATCATTGCTGCACGGAAATCATGATTATTTTTTTCCCAATCCTTGAACGATCGCACCCTTGCACACAGTCAGGGCAAACCACAAGCATATTTCCTCCCCCGCCCCCCATCCTTCGTTAGCAGAGGAAGCTTCGTTAGCTTTAAAGCCTCCACCGAGGTTTTTTTTTTAGATCCCCTCCAGAGGCGGGAGAGAGGATGGAGGTCATGGTGCTCTGCCGCAGCCCACGCTGCCCGACGCAGAGGTCAAAGCGACAAAGTTTAATCAGAATAAACTAGAGGACATCAGGTACCGCGTGGAGAATGGGAAGATTTTCTCAGATTTGTGCGTTTTCCTGCCTTTTCCATGGCTGGAGGGGGATGCGGCAGACAAGGAGAAAGTTCTTGAACAGGTTGCTGCAGGGAAGCAGGTTGGACCGGCAAAGGCAGCAACTCCCTTCTCCTGCCTGGGTGAACTAATGCTCCTCAGGTGGGACAGTCCCGGCGGCATTCAGCGGAGCACCGGCCTGTCACGAGCCTTTCAGCCGGTCGCCACGAGCCTTTCGGCCGGTCGCCACGAACTCACGGCGTGATGGGGGTTAATGGCCGGGGGGCTGCTGGGGAGGGCAGATCCTGCACCTCCCGGCTGAGCACAGCACCTTCTTTTTATGTGTCATGGCTACAGATGCTCCTCCGCTTCCACGGCACGATGGCAAATAGCTTTGGTGCTCATTTAAAGAAGGAAGAGCCCAACGTCAAGCTTTGCTGTGGCGCTGTCTTTATTACTTGCCCGTCCAGATCCAGACGTCACGATGCAGACGTCACGTCGGAAGGTTACTGACCGGCAAGGGCTGGATTTGTCCTCCACAAAGTGTTTGAAGGAGAACGTTAGAGGAAATTGCTCAGGCCTTCAATCAAAGGCCGTTCCCCACCTCCCGAAGAGAAGACAGGCTCGGCGCCGGGAAATAAATTTGCTCGTGGCATCTGCTCATTCTGCGTGGGAGCTTAAGGGGAAGTGCTGTGGGTCCTGGCAGAAGACCCCACGGGAAGCGGGGAGAAGGACTTGGGGCTGTTGGTGGATGAAAAGCCCAACATGAGCTGACAATGTGCGCGGGCAGCCCAGAAAGCCAACTGTGGCCTGGGCTGCGTGTCCAGCAGTGTGACCAGCAGGTCGAGGGAGGGGATTCTGCCCCTCTGCTCCGCTCTGGGGAGACCCCCCTGCAGTGCTGCGTCCAGCTCTGGGGGCCCCAGCACAAGAAGGACATGGAGCTGTGGGAGCAAGTCCAGAGGAGGCCACAGAGATGATCCAAGGGCTGGAGCACCTCTGCTATGGAGCCAGGCTGAGAGAGTTGGGGGTGTTCAGCCTGGAGGA